TCTACTCTGCTCTACAGAGTCTCTGTGAGTCCGACGTCACCGGAAATCAGTGTGTAGGTTGGTTAGGATCAAAGCATCCACTGCCGGAGAGTGAGCCTATATGGGAAACCTGACCATAGTGAGAAGGCTGCTGAAAGAGGAAGAAGTCAGGAGAATCCAATGAGGAATGGTGTTCTAGATGGAACTGTGTCTGCCAAAGATAGGTGTTGTCACTCCTAAACCCTATGCCTGTATAAACCCGTTGAGAAGTGGGTTGTCCTCTGTATGTTAATGAGGCAGGATTCCTGTGGGGTGTGTTTTGAGTCAATCTCTTTGAGATCTGTAAGACATTAAACACAAAAAAGAATCCAAGGGGAAGAGAGATACTGTGCCACAGGAAAATTGCCCGAGAACAGAATTCCACAGGATAAAAAGACTTTTTCCTAGAGAGGACAAAGAGAGAAGGCCCTTATCTGGAGCAGGCACCCTGAATTCGGACTCCTAGCTCCCAGACTGTGAGAAAATGAATTTCTGTTCCTGTTATAACCACCTATTTTTGGTATTTCTGTTACAGCAATTCCAGATAAGTCAGACAGATAGGCAAGTGAGAGTGATCTATTCATCTCATTACAGAGATTTCTGACTTGCCAACTGGATCCGAAATAGTCTTTTGCCGACACCCTCCCTTTTCCCCTACCCTAAGCCAAGAGGGGATAACTGCCATCCTGCTGTGTGGCCATCCTTCTTCCCAGGGCTCAAGGACCAGCCAGTGCCCTTGCTGAGAGCAGGTTCTTTCTTCATATGATACAATTGACCCGTGATGGCCCGAGGGCCACTTGGACTTTTTTCAGACAAATTTATGACAAGTATGTGTATGTTCTCATATCTTTAATGCTTATCTTAAAGACATCAACCTTATTTTCTTTAGTTTCAAATGCTTGCATGTCACCTTTGTGTGGTCCCTGATGCTTTCTATGTCTTTGAATCGCCTTCATTTCCTCCTTTGCTATCTGTAAATATAAGCACCACAAACCAGATAGTATGTAAGTTAGGGAAGACTAGTAGGTTTTATCTTAGGTTCCAGTTCTAAGTGACTGTCAGAAATGTCCTCCAGTAGAGTGCAGAGGTGGAGAATTTGAGCTGCATCTAGGCTAAGGTGCAATTGTGTGATGATCAGTTAGTGATGTCGCCTGTGAGTACAGGAAGGGAGATTGGTGCTACCTATATCATGCAGCTTGTAATCCTGATATATGCCATCTAAAGCTATGTTTTCCATTCAAAGACCCTTCTGGAAGCTGTTGGAATGCTCTAGCAAAGTGAGATGATTTATGAACAGAATTTGTTAACAAGATAGTTTTTTCCCCCTTGGAGTTAGGTAGAGATAAGAGTTAGAAATATGAACTTATTTTCTGGAAACATGAGCCATTTCTAGAATTCTCCCCCCATTCCCGCATCCCCACCCCCCCAAAAAAAAGAATTTTATAGCATGACTAAGATCTGGCCGTCACAGTAAGGAAGGAGATCTTAATTCCAGGAGGTTGGGTTATAGAGTAGTAATAAAGCAGTCAGCAGCACGGTGATTGGAGTCAAGTGTGGTCCCAAGAACGTAGCAAAGCTTCGGTGAAACCGAGGGGAGAGGAAGGGATGCTGGAAGCAGGACAACTGGTCAGAGATGAAGCTTGCTGCCTGAGACCTCAACCTGTGTTTCAGTAAGTGGTTGTGAAAAAATGTTTATGGTGAAAATGCGCTTTCAAGCACATCCATTGACACGTGTGTTTCCAGTGGTCGGGGATTTCCACACACAGTGTGCATGCCTTATTGAACCAACCACACATTCCTCATGCCTAACAGCACATCTGGTGTGTAGTAGACATTCCATAAATGTGCCTCACGTGGGAAAGAGATGGCGTCCTTATTGGTGAACGGTTGATTGGAGATGATCGTCTAGGGCATTGGATTTAGGGATGATCCGCAGTCACACTGTCAGGTTTCAGTTCAAAGGCTCGCAGGGATTGTGCGCCATCCTTGCTGTCTGGTACATAGACTGTATCACCTCTTTGTAGCCACAGTGGTAGCAAGGATAGAAAACTCTGCATATGTTTCACACTCTAGGGGGGCCAAGAAGCATAGTGCCAGAGGCCATGCACATACCCTTATTATCTGAAGCAGCCTGGTAGCGTAGTCGTTGCCAGTTATGCTTGCTAACTGCCAAGGCAGCAGTTCAAAAACACGAACCGCTCTGTGGAAGAAAGATGGGCTTCTCTTCTCCCACAAAGAGCTGCAGTCTCAGGAACTCACAAGAGCAGTTCTGCCTTGCCCTGTGGGTTCACTCGGAGTCGGCAGCGACTCCTTGGCAGGGAGCTGGTTCGGTTGTTGTTGCTGTTGATGTCTGAAAGCAGACGGTCTGCCTGTTTGTAAGAGAGTTGCCGCTCTACCCCCTGCGGTTTTTCAGAAAGTCCAGGGAGCCACAGTTTAGAATATTAGAGAGGTGTGTGCTTTGGATTTAAGATTACAGTAGATAGCCTCAAAGTCTTACTGTTTTCCAGTTCTGAAATTCTCGGGGTTAACTCTGTGATAGAGAGGATTTGGATAAGGGCAAAGTACATAGTAATTCAAGGCACCATTGTGCGTGTACAAGGAACCATGTCAAGCATATATTTCTATACCATGAAAGAGTATTTATGAGAGAGCTCCAAAAAATTCGTGGAAATTTCCCATTCTGTTTCAGTTCTCCTTTCACAGGTAATCTATCTGTCTACTTGGTTGGTAAGAAATATCAGACCACATTTACCTTCCTTGAATATAGCTATCAGTTCACAGGTCTGCCTTCTTTGTCAACAAGGAGCTCCTGTATCCCAAGATGAATCTCTTCCCTCACACTTCATCATCTGTCATCTCCTGACCTGCCAGCCAGCGAACTCGCTCTAAGACCGTGTGTGCCCACGTCACCCCCTTACAGTCCCTCTCCCTCGTTGTACTCTGAAAACTCAGTCTCTTCCTCCTTAAAGAAAAATCTTCAGTTGACCTTTCTGCCTCTTCCAGCTTCCTTTTCTCTCCTTGGCTTTGAAAATAGGTCGTTTTCTTCATTTTTAGACTTCTGCTCTTACCACTTCATTGATCATGTTCTTTTGGGGTCACTAATTACCTCATCATAGCCAAATTCAAATGCCTTTCCTCCAATGTAATCCATTTTTAGATCACCTATCGAAGGGCACTATTAATAACTGCCATGTTCCTCCCCCACTGCCCACTGATTGCTTCATGTTCTTGTTCACTGTCTTAGCAACATGTGGCTTCCCACTTTCTTCTCTCTTCAGCCGTTCTTTACCTCATTCATTGATTTTCCTTCTTCCTCTCACTCACAGTTCTGGTGCCGCTGTTCTAGACATCTACTTAGAAGCCCTCACACTCATTGATAACTCCATTTTGCTTGTTTGCTGAAGCTGTTTCCATTTCCATTTTCAGCTTCTACCTCTTCTCCCTTTGATTGTTTAATCTGTAAGCCTGCCCTGAGCTGGTTGGCAGTGGAAATTGGCATGTTGGAAATAAAACATAACCATCCCTCTCACACTCACCTGCTTCTCCAAGAGTGTTCCCCAGCAGTCCGTTAGGGAGGCCCCCCCAAATAGAGTCTTTATGGGAGCTGCCATCTCCCCTGTCACTTACCTCCCCGTGTGACTATCTTTGTCTCACCCTGCCATCTTCGTCACCTACACCTGATGCCTCACCAGGTCTGGCGATGGCTTTCTTGACAGCACCCCACTTTCCCAGGCTCGTGGGCATGCCCGCCACCTGGATCCAGGGAGTCACCTGAAGCTGCTATACTGACTCACAACATTGCAGCTCAAAATCACATCAGCCGAACCTCTCCACCTTTCTACCACTGCACTTCTTTGTTTAAGAGCTTTGAGTAAATATTAATTTCTCAAAAGGCCTGCAGGAACTCATCTTCCTGGTCCTTCCTCCAACAATCCCCTTCAGTCCTACCCGAGCCAACCCATTTCTGAATAACACTGATTCATATCCACTTTTGGATGAGACCTTCTTTTTCTAACCCCCACCCCCCCCACCCCATACATCTATCCTTCTTTGCTCATTCTCTCTTTGCTCCTCGCTGCCGCCCTCAGACCTCAGTGATCCCCGCATCCCTGTCTCCCTCGGAGGATCTCCTCAGTGTCGCCATGTTCACACCCATGACTGAGCAGTGCCATGACATGCTTTTCAGGCCTTTGACTCTTGGCCTTCCGCTTCACTGGGAGAGCAGTGGGGGCTGTGGCTCCCACATGTGGTCATAGCTCTGGACCCATGTGGTAGGTGAGAGAGAGATGCCACTGCGGAATTACTGAGAGTCCCCTCCCTCACCGCAGCCCACATGCCACCTTCTCAAGAGGTCTTTGCAGGCAAGTGGTTTCTTTCCTGAGCCATCCTGGGAACTGTGAATGCCCACTCCGCCAACAGCAAGGAGACAGAGCAAGGGGCTCCGGCAGACATCAGAAAGGCCGGGCAGAGCAAGTGTGGCGCTAGGGATTTCTGCTCCAAGCAGTCTGGACAAATATGCCCTCGGAAGCTTGGGTAAATGTGCCGTTTCTTTGGATGAAGGTGTAGAAAGCTCTAGGTAAAGTCTATTTTCTTTCAACGGGTTAAGATGGCTGGAAGGCTCCTCTGTCAAGAGCAGGCCTGAGCCTGTGGAGAAACGCCTGCTGCATCTTGATGTCCCACAAGGAGGCAGCTGGGTGTCCCTTGCAGAGAGTGGAAGCCTGGTGTGTGTCTGCCCCTCGGTGCGGGGTAGCTCTGGGTGGACTCCTGAATGAGGGGTCTGGAGGTCAGTGGCTGTGGCCAGCCGTCCTCATCCGTGCTGTGGGAGAGGTGTGTGAAGGCTGTGGCTAGGAGAGATATAACATTCCGTTAAAAATACACCCGTCCCCTTCTCCCTTCTTTATCCTCCCATGCTTCCTGCCTCTCCCTTCATCCCTTCTCTTCTCTCTCCCCCTGCCCTGCTCTCTCCCCGCATTCACTGTCAGGAAGGGCCGTGCCAGAAGGGCCCATTCAGCGAGGCGTGGCAGCGGCAGAGGCTAGCAGCACCAGCAGCTTCCACAGTGAGTCTGGATTTCTTTGGGGGGCCAAGGGGCTGGGTAGGGTAATCCACACCCAGACTGATGGTTTTCAGGCTTTGGAGAGGGCCTTCCATTGGCCAGGGGGGTTGCTTCCAACCTCTCATTCCCTGCCACCCACCATGGTGGCACCATGGAAGCGTCCTGCCAAAGCCATTGATGTGCTTGGGTTGTCTCATGGGGTGCAGCATGGTGAGGGGGGAGGGGGCCATGATCTGCTGACATTCGGGGCTCCACTGGGAGTGCTGCCGGAGGGCATCTAGCTGCTGGAGGCTCTATGGAGGCCTGTGTGTGTGGTGATGGCTGGAGGCTCTGCATGAACAATGGTTTGGCTGCTTTCTTGCGTTTCAGGAGGGATGGCCTTTGGTTTGGGGCTCCTTCACCTGAGAAGAGATTCCTTTTAAGAACAAGGGATGCTCCATCAACTAAAGGATCTGAGGAACCAGTGGGCTCCCTCACCATTGATCTCACATTGAACTTTGCCTGGAAGGGAAAATATATATATATTCTGAGCACTTATGAGTCATATCCCCGAGTATTTGTGAGAGATGCATAGCCTCCCCATTTTGATTTCTCTACAGTGTCTGGCAAGGAGATGGACATACTGTAGATCTGGTGAAAATTCCATCTGTCGTGCCAAGAGTCAGGCCAAGTTGGAAAGCTTCTTTCCAAAGGGCACCACTCTTGGCTTAGGGGTGGTTCTCTTCTCTTCGGGGAATGGTCTATTTGGAAATCGAACACCAGAGAATTCACCTACCCAGCCGTAAAGTTACAGCTCAGATTAGGAAGCGTCATTCCTGCCCTCCTTCTACAGGTCAGCTGCCGATTGCAAACTGCCCTGTGGGGTTCATTCTGAAATGTGACACTTCCCCTTTCTAACCCTGAAGCTGCAATCTTAAGGACAAGTGCTTGGGGATGCTTTTACCAGTCCAATCAGTGATTTGGTTAAAGAGGTCAATTAAGCATGGCTCCCTAGATTCTTTTAGGTTAATGTTGTGATAGGTATCTCATTGTGACATTCCTACCAATCATAGCCCGGAAGTTCAGGATCTTTCCCTGCTAATTGATGTGTATTATTAGACTATGTAAGAAAGAACATGCCTGCCAGCTCAGTGAAGATTTTGAAAGCAGTGATTTTATATGACACTCATCTATCTCTTCTTATACTTTTAAAATACCATCTAGATTTCCATCAGAACAGGGTCAAATCTTGGTTTGGGAAGCTGATGAGGTTCACTGAAGTATCAAATTGGCCAACTATATTAATTAATCCAACAAAGAGATGTTATTAATCCACTGTGTGTTTTTGATTGTCTTGGACACTTGGGATGTGTCAGACACTTCTGAGAAAAAAAGGGGGAGATGTTAATAATAAACTAGGAACCACAGGTACAGATTGGTGAACTGGGCTTCACAGCCCCGTTATCCATGTT